TCATCTGCCAAATCAGTAGTACTAACTTGAGCAATTGGTTCTTGAACAAATAATCCTTGAAGTGTTTCATATTTTACTGTAGCATCAATTTCTTCTTGTGTTTGAATTATTTTAATATCTGAAGCATCTTCATTATAAGAAGTGGTTTCAGTGATAGCTACTTGGTGAGTCGATATGTTCTTATTGGCTTGAGCTTCCTTTTTCAAGAAAGGTACCTTAAAGTCTTTCAATGAAAAGCCAGAAATAGGTTCTTCTACTTCTGTAGCTTGACATGATGTAATACTTGTCTCTGCTTTTGTTTCATTCGCTTTATAGTCAATATCAAATGCTTCAGACATTTGTTGTGATATAGTTTCCGAAGTTGAAACATATTTATTTTCTCCGATTGATACTAATGCTTCTTGGGATATAATGGACTGTTTTTCATTTGATTCAGCAATGTTCATTTTATCAAGGGTTTCTTGAGGCACAATATTTTCTACTACAGCCACTTCTTTAGAATCAATAAGGGTTGTGACCTTCTCTTTCTTAAAAATATTGTCTTCAAGTTCAATAGTACCAAGATGAGTAAATGGTTCTTGAACAAATAATCCTTGAATGGTTTCATATTTTACTGTAACATCTGTCTCTTGTTGTGCTTGACTTAGTCTAATATCTGAAGTATCTTCATTATAAGAAGTGGTTTCTGTTATAGCAGCTTTATGAAACATCATCTTCTCACTTGCTTGTGCTTCCTTTTTCAGGGACGGTACCTTAAAGTCTTTTAAAAAATAGCCTGGAATCGGTTCCTCTACCTCAGTAGCTTGACATGATATAATACTTGTCTCTGCTTTTGTATCGTTAGTTTCATAATCAACATGAAACTCTTCAGACATTTGTTGTGAAATTGTTTCAGAAGTTGAAATATATTTATTTTCTCTTATTAATACCATAGCTTCATGTGGATTAATAGGCTGTTTTATTAAAGCTATGTTTGATTCATCAACGCTCATTTTATCAAAGGTTTCTTGAGGTACAATATTTTCCACTATAGCCACTTCTTTAGTATCAATATGGGTTGTGACTTTCTCCGTCTTACAAATATCATCTGCAAGCTCAATGGTACTATCTTCAGAAAACGGTTCTTGAACAAATAATTCCTGATGAGTTTCATATTGTACTGTAGCATCAATCTCTTCTTGTGTTTGAATTATTTTAATATCTGAAGCATCTTCACTGTAAGATATTGTCTCTGTGATAGCGGCTTGGTGAAGAAGTATTTTCTCATTTGCTTGTGCTTCCTTTTTTAGTGACGGTATTTTAAAATCTTTCAAAGAAAGGCCTGGAATTGGTTCCTCTACTTCAGTAGCTTGATATGATGTAATACTTGTCTCTGCTTTTGTCTCGTTAGCTTCATAATTACCATCGAACACATCAGAAAACTGTTGTGTTATAGTTTCAGAAGTTGAAATATATTTATTTTCTCCAATTGATATTTGTGCTTCGTGTGGTGTAATAGTTTGTTTTGGTAATAATTCATTAGATTCATCAGTGCACATTTTATCAAGGGTTTCTTGAGGCACTATATTTTCTACTACAGCTACTTCCTTGGTATCAATATGGGTTGTGATCTTCTCTTCCTTGCAAATATCATAAGCAAGATCAACAGTACTATCTTGAGTTAATGGTACTTGAACAAATATTTCCTGATGAGTTTCATATTTTACTGTAGCATCAGTCTCTTTTTGTGTTTGATCTATTTTAATAACTGAAGTGTCTTCATTATAAGAAGTTGTTTCTGTGATGGCTGCTTTGTGAAATAACATCTTTTCATTGGCTTGTGCCTCCTTTTTCAGGGCAGGAACCTTAATATTTTTTAAGGAAAATCCAGGAATAGGTTCCTCTACTTCAGTAGCTTGACTTGTAGTAAAACCTATCTCTGCCATTGTCTCATTAGCTTCGTAGTTAATATCAAACACTTCAGTCATTTGTTGTGAAATAATTTCAGAAGTTGAAATGTATTTGTTTTTATTAATTGATACTGATATTTCAGCTGCATCTGCATGATACATTAAGTTTTCATTTGTATATTCTCTTTCATTAACTACTGGTACCGATACCTCTATCCCTTGCTTAGGTTTATGTGTAACTTGGGCTAAATGTTCTTTTGGGTGAGGAATAGTGACAACCCCTAACAGTTCTTGTGGCAAAACCTCCTCAACAATGGCTGGTTCAGCTTGGATAATTGTTTTTGTTACATGGGAAACTGTTAATGTGTCCTCAGTTAACTCATTTTCTGTATCATGTATATTTGTTTCTATGATGGATATTCCAGTAACTGGTGTTTCAAATGTAATTTGTGCACATTTTGATTCAGGAGAAATAATGTTACCATACTTACCTTCTTTCTCATTTGGCACCAGCTCGTATACCTGTGCAGTTCCCATACTAGAATCTGATGTAATATTGGCTTGTTTGTATGTTACTGCTTCATTGTGTAATACTGACTCTGTGTCTAAATTTACCTCTAGATCTTGTCCCACCACTCCCAGACATGATTCTATAGTGACTGTACCATATTTGTGTGGCATGTCATGCTTCAAAGAATACTCACCCTCTCGATCTTCAGGTTGAATTTCAGTCAAGACTGTGGCCTCTTGTTGTTCAAAAGAGACACTGACATTTTTATGAAGGGGCTTCACCATGTCTGGAAGGGAAGATTCAATTTCATCTGTCAACTGATGTTCAGTCACAACAAGACTGTGACTGTGATGTGGTAGAGTTGACTTGGCTGAGCTGAACAGCGGCATCTCCACTGGCAGGGGACCTAGTGAACTCTCAGGAAGGACTTCTGTGCTCAGAACCACATCATGTCCAACTACACCAGGATAAGCTTCTGCTTCTCTCATTATTTCAGTGATGATTTTCGCCTCTTCCTTATCTTGTACTATTGTTTCTGTTACAGTAATACCTTGCTTCTTCTCAACACTAAATTCTGCAAAACTTTCATGTGGCTTTTCTGACACGTTCAGTGTTCCCTCACTTTCTCTCACCGATGTTTCAGTAAGCATAACACCTTCCAAAAGCAGTTGCTCAAAGTTTGCTTGGCTTTGTTTTGGAAGAATATCTTTCATAATTTCACCAGCTGAATGAATTGCAATAATCTCAGTTTTCTGAGCAACATCGTGACCAGAAATATCAGCAAATGCGACCCTCTTCTTCTGTTTTTCTTTTTCTATGAATGTGTCTTCTTTATCATCTGCTATAATTTGCAGTGTAGTTGCCCCAGATTTAGCTTCTTCAAGAGTCAATAATGCACTCTTCTTATCTGGGGTAAATGTTCCCTCAAATGTTCCTTCATGTTCCACAGCAGTTTCTTGCATTTGGACACTTGTCTCCAAAGTAATTGCTTCTGATTTTGCTTGTGCAGACATTGGACTCTTTTTTTCTATTTTGCCAATTCCAATTTCTGCAATTACTTCAGTTGTCTCTGCAACTTCCTGTGAAGTTAAATCAGCTGTTTTTGCAACTCTCTGTTTGGGACCTTCTGAAAATGGATATGCATCCTCCTTATCTTCCAAGACAATTTCACTTATTGTAAGGCTTTTTCCTTCTTCAAATTCAATATTTGCGGTCTTACTTGTTGCTTTAAAAGATTTATCAAAAATGTCTTCTTTCTCTTGTACAAGATCTTCAGAAATAATAATATATTCTAATGGAACCTGTTGAGGCTGAGCTGTTTCCTTACTTGGAGAAGATTGAATGGCAGCAGTAACACACATTTCAGATAAAACTTCTGTAGTTTGAATGGGCTCTTGACTTACTAAGTCAGTATGAGCTTGCTTTGTATTTGGAATATCTGAAATATTAAGAATATCTTCTTTCTGTTCTGCTGTTATTTGGGTGACATGTATGCTTTTACCTTCTTCAAATACCAATTCTGCACTTTTCTCAACAAATTGTCCAGCTTTTGTAAAAGTTTCTTCCTGCTCATGGATAAGAGTTTGTGTTTGAATTACACCTTCAAAAGGCATCTGCTGTAAATTAGCCTGTACTGTTTTAGTAGGTATTGTCACAATTTCACCCAATGAAGTTCTTGTGTTTACTTCAGATTTAAGAGCAACTTCTTGTGGAAGAATATTGAGAATAGCTAATTTACCAGATGAAACATCAGGAATATCACATTGCCCCTCCTTGTCTTCTGCTATTACTTCAGTAATAGTAATTTCTCTTTTTTCTTGGAAAGCAATGTCTATGCTTTTGGTTTCGGGTTTTAATCTCTCATCTAATTCTTTTTCATGTTCTTGAATATTTGCTTCAGTTAAAAGTAAACTTTCAAATGGTAAATGTTCAGACTTAGCTTTTGCAGTAATTGGTTGATCAACGAGAAATTCCTGAATTCCCATTTCGGTCAATACTTCTGATTTGTTGGCAACTTCCTTTCCTGTTATCTTAGGCTGTGCATTATAAGGTTGAGGTTGAAGATGAGTGATATAATCATCTTCTTTGTCCTCAACAACTACTTCTGTGATTGAAATGCTCTTGCCCTCTTCAAAGACTACTTCTGCAGATTTCTGAACTTTGCTTTGCATGTCAGATTTCAATATTTCTTCCGATTCTCTGACTGTAACTTCATTTGATACAATATGTTCAAAAGGAAGTTGTGCTACGTTAGCCATTGTTGTCACTGTTCTCTGAATTTCCACATTTCCAAGACTTTGTTGAGTCATTACTTCACTTTTTTCTGCTATTTCATGGCCTGTAACATCAGGTATTGCTCTCTTTCTATCAGGAATAAAATGTTTATCAAAGCTTCCTTCTTTGTCTTCAACTTGCACTTCAGTTACCATCTGGACTTTCTTCCCTTCTTCCACAAACATTTCTGCCAGCTTTGTTGATGGTTCAAATTTAGATGAGAATTTAGACTCCTTTTCCTGCATGAGACATTCTGAAATAATAAGTCCTTCAAATGTATTCTGGTCTAAGTGAGCAAACTCAGAAGTTGGTAATTCTTGTTTCAGTTCGCCAGGAGCTACCTGTGTGAAAATTTCCCTTTGAGCTGCAACTTCATTGCTGCCAGTAAGATTGGGTGAAGCTTTTCTTTCTTTGGGTAAGTCTGGAGCAGTATACTTTTGCTCTTTGTCACTCAACGTGACTTGAGAAACAGTAAGACTTTTTTCAATTTCAAATTCAAATTCTGCTTTTTGAGTACTTGGTTTTCCATCTTCGTGAAATTTGTCTTCTCTGTCACAAACTGCAGTTTCCGTTTGTATTACACCTTCAAAAGGAACATGTTGTTGTTGTGCATGAATAACTGCAGGCTTTTCTTCAGAAAATTCAGATATGTTGTAATTAGGAACAACTTCTGATTTCTCAGCTATTTCATGACTTGATATTTCAGGAACTGCTTTCATTGCTTTTGGTTTAGTAGAAGAAACAAATTCACTCTCTCTATCTTCTGCAACTGTTGAAGCCACAGATATAGCCTGACCTTCTTCAAATGAAAGTTCAGCTGAACTAGTGGGTTTCTTCAAATGTCCATCAAACAACCCTTCTCGTTCTATAATGTTTGCTTCACTTTGTACAAGGCTTTCCAATGCCGTATGACTGGGTACTGCATGTACACTCAACATTTTCTCTTGTGAAACATTTCCTATACTCAAACTAGGTATGATCTCATTATGTTCTGCAACTAGTTGTCCCAAAATATCTGTGTTAGCTGTAAGTTCTTTGGGTTTCTCTGGAGATTTGTATTTTCCCTCACTATCGTCAAGGGTCACTTGTTCAACAGTTACACTATGTCCTTCAATGAAACCTAACTGTGCACTATACATGTCCATTTTCAATTTACCTGTGAATACCCCCTCACACTCAGAAACTGTAGCCTCGGTTTGTTGCACGCTCTCAAAAAGAAAATTATCAGAAATTGCATGTTTGCTTTCTGCTTCATGCGAAACTAATTCGCCTGGCATACTTTCAACCATAACAACACTCTTTTGAGCTACTTCATGACCCAAAATGTCAGGTTTTGCAAATATACTCAGGGGCTTGTCTGGGGATGTATAACTACCTTCCTTATCTTCTGCTATCACTTCTGTGATAGAAACACCACTTTCTTCATCAAAAGTAACCAAAGCACTTTTCATGTCAGGAAGAATTTCTTTCTTGTACTCACTTTCCAGTTCTCCAGGAGCAATTTCAGATTGCATTACACTAATAAACGGAAGTTGTTCTACCTGAGCTTGTGCACTCTCAGGAAGCACATCAGATAGTTGTGTAATACTACTATTTACTATTATTTCTGTCTTAGATGCAACTTCCTGCCCAGTTATATCTGGAACAGCTGTTTTCTGTAATGGCTTTTCTTGGGAAGGTAAACTGATTTCCCTATCTTCTAAAGTCACTAAAGTAACAGTAACACCTTCTTCTTCTTGGAAAGCTGTCTCAGCTTTTGCAGAAAGAGGTATCTTTTTAGGTACACATTCCCCTTCTCGTTCCCGAGCCAGTGTTTCACTCAAAATAATACTTTTATGAGGGATACTAGCAGTATTAGCTTCAAACATTGTAGGTTTTTTCATAGTAATTTCTTCAATACTGGAATCAGGAATTGTTTCAGAAGTTAATGCAGCACCCTGAAAACGAATATCTTGTGTTGCAACACAAGTGTTTGGAATTTCCATCTGTTCTAGAGGTTTTTCCTTGTCCTCAATCAAAACCTCAGTGACATTTAATACTTGTCCTTCTTCAAATGTAACCTCTGCTTGTTTTACTTCAGGTTTTATATCACACACATACAGGCCTTCCTTTTCTCCAATAGTTAGCTGTGAAGTAATTATACCTTGAAATGAATCTTGTTCAGATTGAGCCTTTTCTTTGATAGGAGATTCACGTTTCAAGTCACTAGTTTGAACATTGGGAGTGATTTCTTCTTTCAAAGCAACTTCTTGCCCTAGAATGTCCATGATAGCCTTTCTCTGCTTGGGAAAATCCAATGACTCCAAAAGAGCCTCTTTATGTTCAGCAATGATTTCAGTTACGGAAAGCCCTTGATCCTCATCAACATGAATATTTACAGTTTTCTCTTCTGGCCTACTGTCTCCTGACCATTTTTTTTCTACCTCTGTTATTGCTGTTTCGGTTACTATTAACTCTTGAAGAGGTTGGTTGCCAGGTTTTGCTCGTTTTTTCATTAATTCTGGAAGGGGTAACTCCCCCACATTATGCTCAGCTAATGTTTCTGATGTCAGGGCAACCTCATGTGTAGGAATGTTCGATAAAGCAAAAGTTTGTTTGGGGCGTACTTCTGCCACATATTCCTTCTCACTATCATTTGTCAACACTTGTGTTACTTTTATTCCGGAAACTTCTTCTGACAATGCAATATTTGCTAACTGTGTATCAGGAAATACATCTTTGTTGAACTGTCCTTCCTTTTCAACCATCTGAGATAAAGAAACAAGAAGGCTGTCTAAAGTAGTTTGTTGTGTTTTGACAACACCTGTGTCTGGAGACTTTTCTTCTAATTTTCCTGGAATAATTTCTGGGTAAATTTCTGATTGTACAGCCACGTTCTGAGGTGCTATGTCAGATGAGGCAAAGCATTCAGTGGGCATGTCTGTCGTTGCATATTTTGCTTCTTTATCATCTGCCACAACTTCAGTCACAGAAATGCTTGTTTCTTGGAGAACTGTGATGTCTACCACTTTTGCATCAGGTTTGGCATCATGAGCATACGTTTTCAAACTTTCTCCTGCAACTGTTTCTTCCACAATGGTTTCCTGAAGAGTGTCTTGATCGTACTTTGCTTTGGATGTTTGAGGCACTGATTTTTGAAGATGATCTGTGTGCCCTTGTTGTTCTATTTCTTCAACAATAATTGAGTGAAATGGTTTAGTTGGAAATAATGAAACATGATGTGTTTCTGGCAAGCTAGGAGTGAAAAGATTCCCTTCTAGTTCAATAGTTTGTGTCTGAAGAACTGAAACACCAGTTTGTGGCACATAAGTCTTTTCTCCTTGACAGAACTGGAGCTGCATAGAAATGTCAGCATCTTCTAACTTATCTTGTGCAAGAACAAACGATATTTCCTTAGCTTCTTGAGTTTCTATGTTGGGTATTGCCTCATCTGTACGGTAACGTAAAATATCAGAAAATTCTGATGGCATATCACCAGTTTGAATCTCAGATACTGCAATAAATTCCTCTGGTCGGATTGTTGTCTCTGCAGAAACACTGTTAGGAGTCTGCATTGGTATAAATTCACCTTCAGTCTCCTGTACCAATGATTCGGACACATTAGATGTCTCTAAGCCCAATATCGATGGTTCAGCTTTTTTCTCTTGGGGAAATTCTTCAGGAAGTAATTGACTTTCGTGTTCCACTGTTGTAGTTTCTAGTACTACAAGACTTTTTTGTTCAGAGAAATCAACTTCTGCCATTTTTTGGTCTCTTTTCTCCACACAAAAATTGTCTTCATGTTGCTGAGCCTCAATAATACTAACAGAGACACTTTCTGTGATAGAAATGTCTGTTTTAGCTTGTGGCATTTCAGGTTTTCTTTCAGGAACTATTTCTCCCTCTTTTTCTTGTGCTGATGTAACTGAGACAACTACACCCTCACCAGGTGTGATACGCATATCTGCATGTTGAGATGGTGGCAATCGTCCAGGTACATATTCACCTTCTTTCTCTGGAACATTAATTATATGTGTTGTCACTTGTTGTTGTGTCATTACAGACTTATTGGCAACTTCTGTAGCGACAAAAAGTTCAGGATAATATTTTCCAGGCCTTGTTTCTGTAAACACTTCACTCACAACCAAATGTTCAGCTGATGGAACTTGAATGTTGGACTGAGCTGGTAAAGGTTTGAACGTCACATTTAGTTTTTCTTCTGCTGTACCTTCTGTCACTTCTAGAACAGAAATACCTTCCTGCAAGACAACCGACCTATTTATAAGCTGAGATTTCGGAAGTGTAGCAACTTGAATGTTACCTTCCTTTAAAGAAACTTCAGTTTCACAGACTGCTGTTGCTTCCTGGAGAGTCAGTGAAATAGCTGCCTTACCAAGTGGTGCATTAGCAGACTCTGCAACGAGACCCATTTTGTCATCAGCTGTTGTTTCTGACACTACAATACCTTCTTGGGATATAACTGTTTTTTGTGCTTCAAAAGACTGAGGTTTGAATGTTGTACTGAATTCACTTGGCATGGCTTGTACATTAAGTTCAGTTACTTCAAATGGTTCTATTGCCTGTAAGCAAGATGCAGCCTTAACACTTTCTGGATGCTTAACTTCTGACTCTTTTTCTTGCTCTTGAACTAATATTTCTTGTTCTGACAATGCACTATGAGTTAACATTCTCACTTGGGCAGATTCATGTGTATTTGGAGCACAGGGAAAGATTTCTGCAACCCGTGCCTCTGGTATAGTCTCAGCTCGCTGTGAAGGAGAGCTGATAAAAGGGAGACTTTTCATGGTCGAATCTGGAAAAGGTTTTAGATCCTCCAAAAACTCCTCATCTATTACTTCTTCACCTGTCTTTGGTCTTGTGGCTCTGAATGATTTCTTCACCTTCCGTTTTCCTTCATCTACTATTTCTTCAATTTCCTCTTCCTCTTCTGATCTTTGTTTGATTACCCTTCTTGTCTTCTTCTGACGATTTAAAGTTCCAGTTTCCTTCTCTACAATAATTAATTCCTCTTCTTTTACTTCATCATTCTCATTTCTTGTAATCCTTACCTCCTCAATCTTCTCATCCACTGGTTGGGTAATAATGACCAAAGAATGTTCCATATTTGTTGAAACTTGTTCGTCTACAGGTATTTCAGTTATTGTAACACCCTCTTCCCTATCTTTATCAATAGGTTTCAGTGTCTCGTGTCCTTGTGTGAGAACTTCAGCAGTCCTGGATGCTGTGCGATGGCGAAGCTCAATGTCCTCAAACATTTCTGTGGAGAGTGTCAAGGGATTGATGTCACATGATGTACAATTCATATTTGTTATTGTTGAATAGAATGCAACCTAATAAAGTACACTATCATAAAATTAGTCTGAAATTTTGTTAAATCGATAAATAATATACTAATGTGCAATAAATTTGAGCAAATGAGAATAAAATTATTAATTAATGAATATATTTCAGTAAACTCACAATATCTCTATTAGGTTGCTATCCAACATGTATCATGTTGCATATAAAATGATGGTTTACACTGTTGAAATGTTTCTGAAAAGTTTTGTTATTGTTATGAAATTAGTTGCATGTGAGATTCCAACACACTAGTAAAGCATACTCTCTATAGAGTGCATCTACTGAAGCAAGTTATGATGTTATCAGTGTTCATATAAAGGACATGTTTGACAGTAAGAATGAAGAATAAAAAGTACAGAGTTTCAAGACAGGTATGTATGACTGTGCAATAACTAAAAGAATAATGTAACACATGGGCTTGTAAGAAAATATATTAGGTAGAGAAAAGTGACATCAAGAGAGTTAATGTGTCAAGTAAATACATGAAAGAAGGTAGCAGTATTATTGAGAAGTATTGTATTGAGAAGTAATATTTGATACATAGTGATTGCACAAGAAATAGTGTAGAAATTAGCACAGGACAGATTGCTACCAAGAAGTGTAGTATATTTTGTGAGAAGACTGTAATGAAAACACTCCTATGAAGCACAGGAATTGTTAAAGAGTCTTACATAGCATTTTACACATTACTTAAGCATAGCGCCAAGCAGAACAAAAGAACACTGCCAATTCATACTTTGGTTAACTAAAAAAGGAAATAGTTTTTTTAAATAGTTTAATCTGAAGACAAATCAATACCCTATGCATGAATAATTAGTCAATTTGTACAATAAACCCCCACTACAAACCTCTTCTTTCAGTAACATCTCATTTACTTGATTAGGAATTTTTAATATTTTTTCCAAATAAATGTAGTTATAAATTGATGGCATTGAAGTATGTGAAGAAGTTCAACATAAATGTGTGCTTGAATCACAACTGTAACAGTTTTCAACAATGTTTCATAGTTATAAATATAGACAATGGATATAAGATATTTAACTTCACAAGAAATAAGTATTTACTTTAATTGGTAAAAACGAATGTTTTTACTGAACTGCTGCAGCAAGTGGGAGAAAAGTTTCTAACAGGAATTTCAGCTGTCCTCTTACAAACACTTGAATTCATTTATCATATTTACTAGTAAATAAATATTTATATAAATTAGTAATTCAAAACCAAAAGAAAATTTCATACACATACTTGATTGAATACACAATACTTCCATGAAAAAACACTCATTCTGCCCTTTTCTCATCAACAAATTATTTCCTAAAATTCTTATACTGCAAGAAAGACTTTATAGCGTGAAGGCAGGTCATAAATTTTGCAAAAAGAATGACTGAATAAAAATCTTCTTATGAATCCAATACATGGCCAAGATTCAATACTCAGTCTTTATTATATTTATACACATTTGATCCTTCTGAATATGCTGGTCATCTATTTCCGAAATAATAAATATCTTTAAAGATAATTGATCAGAAGATTTATAATTGAAAGGAAGTGTTAGGAAAACTGCAAGAATTACTTCTAAATTTTCAGTCAATAATAAAAGGAGTAATGGGTAAACTTTTCACTGAAAAAGTTTATATTTACCAGTTTTTATGGCTTTATTAATGCATTTTATTTAATTGTAATTTAATTGAAATTGTTTTAAAAAAATTGGCAAGATTTATTTTGTAGTCATTAAGAGAATCATCTTTATAATTAATTTGATTTATTTTCTATGTTATGTGCAATTTGCTAGGAACATTATTTCATTTAATGGAGTTTGTATCATATTTTATTGACACCATAGCAATACCAATTATCTGATTAGACAAACAAAATTTAAAAGATTGAATTCATGTTCATTACAATTTTGTTTATTTTCCTTCTTTTTCGACTCAAAGAAAACAATATTAATTAATAATTTAAATTCTTCAACAAGAAAGAAGTTCAAACTGCTATGGTGGCTGCCGAGTCAGTGACATGGATCGGGTCAATGTTCAATTCTAGTTAAATTTAAAATGCAAGTGAAACATGAAATCCTTACTCTTTATTGTGAGCCATAAAGCTACAAATCAGTAAGAAATATTCACATATCTAGATCTGTAAAAACTGATCTACAGCCAAAAACTATACACTAATAAATCAAAAAGAACATAGAAAAATTGATATAGATACTACAGTTTTATAACAGCAGAAAAAAGCAAAAAAAGAAAAAGCAAAAATTTGTGAAAAATAAAATAGCAGAGATAATACTATTGTCTAAATTATTAAAAGATTTCAATAAATAGAATGAATGAGTACAGGATGATAAAAATATATATTTTTCAACAAAGGTTAGAGGTAAAAATGGAAATATATGAATATTAGAAAGTAGAAATAAAACTTTGAATGAGGAAGTAAATATTTTTGTTCTCTTTGACCATTTAATACTTTAGAAACAATGAATCATTCATTGACTGAAAATTCAAACAGAAAGGTATACTTAAGTGAAAAAGCATTATTACTCATACATAAATAACACACATGTACTCACCCCATGGCCATAAGAATATAAAGCATTTAGCATACTCAAGCATATATCATAATTCAACATTATTAAAAGCAATAAAAGCCACAAAAAGGAAAGTAAATACGCATTAAGAGAATGTGTATTTGTTACAATAATAGAAGAAAGTGTAAGAATGTATTGTGTTACAGAGGTCAAACCAGACGACCATCTAAACAAATTTGAAGATTAAGAATATGACAGACTTGAAACTGGAAAAGAGATACACAGAAGTAATATAAGTAATGACACTACAGCTTCTGCGCTATTATGCTTGATTATGATGATACACAAGCTTTAGCCATAATTACTAATACTATCAGGCACTACACAATTACTGTGCCATATATATTATCAATATACTTAGATACTGCAGAGCGTAGAACTCAACAAAAAATATACATCACAAATGGATTATTAACTTCTCTAATATGTTAGTAATAGACATTTCCAACAGTTCAACAGCGACATCCATCACTATTTATGCACAAATATTTTACCATTCCTTCCAAAATATTCCTTCCAAAACAATAAACTTTCAGCTACAATAATGAAAAAGAATTGGAAGGAAGATAATTATATATACAATTCTGTCTTTCTCCCCACCAAAATATTCAAACATTCACCTATTGATCCCTCCTTGCATGCATACTTCTGTCCATTCATTTCATAGAGTTTCCACTAGTTGGTTCATCCATCCAACAAAATATTTCCCTCTTTTTTACTTGCATACACATCTAAATGAAACTGATTTTATGTGAATGTTAAGAGATGAACCATTACCACAATGATTTTAATTTTTAGTGACAATTTGATTCCAAGAAAAAATTGAAACAAGATTTTTTTTTAAATTAAAAGAGAAATATTTTGTTCATATTCATCCTTGATTCCCATGTCCCAACTTCCACACATACTAGACAGGAATGGCAAGTCTTATGATCTTAAGAGTATCACACATTCAAAGCAAATGTTCATGTTTAAGCATTAAAATATTGCACATAATGGATAAAACACTTTGAAATATGACTTTTTATTAGTACCCATTTTATTTAAATTAGTTAAAATGGTGGATCAGAAAATCAGGAATTTTCATAATATTGTCTCTTAAACACCAATATTTTTCAAAACCGTCTGTAATACCCACAATAAAACTGTGTTTCTTCACCCCAACCAACTATTACAATTCTGATCCTTTCAAAATCCTGTTCAGCATTTAAGATGTGAAGATGTGAAATTTATATAATTTTCAAAAACTCTCAACGACCTCACTGTTGGTTGTCATGTACATTGTAGCAAAATCCTAGCAAAACTGTATTGGGGTAGGCTCTGGAGAAGAAGATTGAGAGCACAAAGAGGTGACAAATATCTCTAAACTTTGGACTTCATTCATCATGTATATTTCTGAATATATTTGTCTAAGAGGTATTTCAAATTAAAGATTGATTGACTGGTTTACATTTTATTCATTAATTTATTTGTTTATTTATATATATGTTTGTTTAGATATTGTTCTAGTGGTGTATTATTATTAAATTATTATTATTATTATTATTATTATTATTATTATTATTATTATTATCATTATTATTGTTGTTGTTGTTGCTGCTGTTGCTGTTGTCGTGTTTCAAGTCTCATTGGAACAAACGTTTGTATTGATTGAATGTGCGAGTTCTTAAAGCCAAGCCTTGCATACAATGAAGTCAGTTCTTCAGAGATCAGTCGATTTGCAGAGATGACCACAGGGGCTACTTCTACAAATACTAACCGCCACATGTCGCTCAGTTCAATAGCCAAAGCCTGATATTTTCGCTTCTTCTCGGCAACAGAGGCAACTATATTTCGGTCTAAAGGAATAGCTATGTCGACTATAATCCCTTTCCGTGAGACCTTGTGAACCCATATTGCGACAGACATATACGTCTGTTGGCTTTGACCCTGCGATCAGTGGTGACTGCTACATTCCATAAGAGCTTCCACCGTTTCGACTCCAAAACTGAATCCGGCTTGAACTTATAGTATGGGACCTCTTTCTGTACCATCTCCGACTTTGCAGCAGGGGCCTGATGGACAAC